GTGGAATCTCAGCGTTGTTTTCATTTGCATCTCTCGAATGTCTAGGTCCATTCTTGAGAGTAAAAGGTATATTTCAGGTCCCCATGTTTCATTACGACACTATAGATTAAGCACAAACAATATAAAATTATGTCAACTCACTATTTTTACATGAAACCTTATAGATACATGATCTAGATATGTATAAATGATTCACTTAAACCCACACAACATGTGTACATTTGCACATCTCCACCTGGGATGTGTATTTCTTGGAAAACTTGTGAAGAAATATTGACATCAAACTTAATGTATTATTTTCACAAGTCTCCATTACATGACAAATTTTCAAAGAAGTTTCAAAATAGGCTTACATACATAAAAGTTTCTCCCCAGTGGGATTTCTTTCATGTATTTAAAAATGTGTATGGCATCGTTCCCAATTACTTATTACATAGGTCTCTACCTTGTGAGTTCTTCCATATACTTGAAAATTGTCTGTACTGAGGATTTGCATATTGCTTACATTCATAGGATTAATACCAAGTGTGTATCCTTCCATGTATTTTACATTCACTGAGCCTGCTGAAAGCTTTCCTGAATTGCTAACATACATAGGGTTTCTCTCCAGTGTGACATCTTTCATGTATTTGACAATAATTGTTTCTGTGGAAAGCTTTCCCACATAGTTTACATACATACGGTTTCTCCCCACTGTGAATTCTTTCATGGCCTTTACAAGTACTATGATTTCTGAAGGCTTTCCCACATTGCTTACATACATAGGGTTTCTCTCCACTGTGAACTCTTTCATGTGTTTGATAAGCTCTATGGGTGGGAAAAGCTTTCCCACATTGCTTACATACATAGGGTTTCTCCCCACTGTGATTTCTTTCATGGATCTGAACATTATTCTGTGTGCTGCAGGCTTTCAAATTTTTCTTACATACAAAGCCCTTTTCTCTAAGGTGAGTTCTTTCAGTAAGGTCAGAGTAGGATTTCCCACATTGATCATATTCACAGGGATTCTCTCCATCCTTTGCCCTTGCATGCTTCTGAAAGGACTGGAAATCACTGGAGTTTCTTCCATGTTGATTACATTTATGCACCTCTTCAGATCCCAAATATTTATATGACTTCAGTGCAGTGTGAGGAATGATAGGCACAGTCAGTGAGAAATGACCACTCAGAGGCTTCCTAAGAGCAAGGCTTTCAGCTGGTTTCACATCCACATTAGCATCTGGAGTCCAAAGGAATATTTCTTCATGTTGATTCCAAGCTTTATATTGATAGCATTTCACTACCTCTTTCTTTCTTAGATTTCTCCAGTAAATTTTGTATTCTTCTTCAACTTCCAGGTGATCCCAGGCTTTTCTATAGCAGCCAAGTTGCTAAAGGTTTCCCTCATCACGTCTCTGTAGAGCTTCTTTTGGGATGGATCCAGCAAAGCCCATTCCTCCATGGTGAAGCTCACAGCCACATCTTCAAAGGTCACTGCCTCCATTGCGTGGCCTCTGGGTCTCCCGGGGTCACTCCTATGCGGGCCGCAGCCAGTAGAGGTCACAGCAGGCGGTGGGCAGCGCTCCAGTGGTCAGGCGCCGCCCTTTGTCGCCTTGACACCGCTACATTTATTGATTTGCATGTTAAATTATCCCTAGAATGAATCCTACTTGGTCACTATGTGTGATCTTTCTGATGCTTTTCTACCTTCTGTTTGCCATTATCTTATTGAGGATTTTTGCATCTGTGATCATTAAAGAGACTGGTCTTTAGCTCTCTTTTTTGGTTGGGTCTTTTTCTGGTTTTGGAATCAGGGTAATGCTTGCTTCTAGGAATGACTTTGGGAGTAATATTTCCCTTTCCATTTCATTAAAAAGTTTGAAGAGTATTAGATATTCTGTAAAGTTCTTATAGAATTTGGCAGTGAATCTGTTGGGGCCTGGGCTTTTCTTCGTAGTTTTATTTTAATACCTCTTCAGTTTCACTGACTGATATTGGTTTATTTAAAATTTTTATATCCTTCTGGTTCACCTTTGGTAGTTTATATGTGTCTAATAATTTAACCATTTCTTGATTTCTTCTCTGTGTTTTATAATTCCTTCTTTGCACTAATTTTAGGTTTGAATTCTTCTTGTTTTTCCAGGATCTTGAGGCGCATGATTAGATAATTTGAATGCATTCTGTTTTTCTAATGTTAGAATTAACTGTTTATAATTAAATTATATTATAAGGGGTTTTGCCTTAACATTAGTTTATAAATATTTGTAACTAAATTATAAATCCCTCTTACAACTGCTTTTATTGTATCCCATAGATTCTGGTGTTCTGTAATGGCATTATTGTTTGCTTGCAGAAACTGTCTAATTTTTTCTTTAATTTCCTGTGTGAAGGGCTGGGATGTTGCTCAGTGGCACTGTGCTTGCCTGGCAAGCTCAAGGTCCTGAGTTCAATCCCCAGTACCACAAAAAAGAAAAGAAAGACTTTTATGGGCTGAGGATTTAGCTCATTGGTTCCACCACCTGCTTTGCAAGCACAAGGACCAGAGTTTGATCCCTGGTACCAAAAAAAAAATTTTACTCCTTTGCTGTTTGTTTTAGGGGCCAGGATTTAGCTCAGTGGTTCCACCACCTGCCTCACAAGCGCAAGGTCTGGAGTTCAGTCCCTGGTACCAAAAAAAAAAAAAGGAATAACTTCCTGTGTGACCTAATGATCATTCAAGAGGGTATTGTTTGTTTTCCATATATTTGCATATCTTCTGTGGTGTCTTTTGCCATTGATTTCTAGTCTTGTTGCACTATGATCTGATAATATGCATGGGATAATTTCAATTCTTTTGCATTTACTTAAGCATGCTCTATGTGCTAGTATGTGGTCTATTTTGGAGAAAGTCCCAGGTGCTGCTGAGAAGAATGTGTACTTCGTTGTTTTTTAGTGGAACACTGTAAATATCTATTAGATTCATTTGTTGAAAGGTTTGGTTCAGCTCTGATACTTCTTTGATGACTTTTTGCCTAGTTGATCTGTCCCTTTGCGAGTGTGGTATTGAGAGCCCCCATTACAATTGTATTGGTGTTCATCTGATTTTTAATGTCCATTAATGTTTGCTTTATGAATCAGTGCACACATGATTGTTAACTCTTCCTGTTGAACTGTTCCCTTAACCAGTATGTAATGAACTTCTTTATCTCTTCTGATCTAAAATTATTTCACTGTTTCTTGTAGATTCAGCCTCCTTTCTTTGAATTGTGAGCCAGGGATAAAGTGCAGAGTGCCCCATCCTTTTTCTGTGTTATGTTCTGTCTCTTCAATTTCTCTGCAGGCTGCAACTTTCCCATCAGATCCTTCCTGGGTCCCAGGACTCCACTTGTCTCCTTCTTTACTTTCTCAGGTTATTGTTTTCCAGTGTCTGGAAAGCAGCAACAGGCTATTGCTGCTTATCACTCAAATCTTTACATCATTTTTCTCTCATCTTTAGAAGTAAAAAAATTCATTCCCCAAATCAGATGCCACATCCCTGATTTTTTTAAGAAAAAAAAATCTGTTCTGATTGCTATTGCAGTATTTGACTATGGGATAACACCTGTTAGTTTGTAATTTTTGCTTGCTTTTTTTTTTTTCTGGTACCAGGGATCGAACTCAGGACGTTGTGATTACAAGGCAGATGCAGTGCTGCTGAGGTATATCCCCAGCCCCTTTCCTTGCTTTTTTATGTTGTACATTTCTCTTCCATAATAACTATAGATTACACATTTCTCTGTTCTTCACATCTCTTAGTGATTGATTCTTCTGTGGTAGAATGCTTAAAATACTTTTAAAAAGTGATTTACATTTATAGTGTATTTTATAATGTATGAAGTCTTTCACATTTAATAGAAATACATAATAGACATTCTTCTGATATTAATGGTGTGTATTATTACTCTAGATTGTTTTTAGTACAACAAAGTAGCATTATATTACATGAAACAGGAGTAAGCCCCCTAGTGAGGTACAATGTATGATCATGAGTTTATCAACAAGTACCAAACTGAGTTGTTTTATCTCTTTGTCCCCAACACATGGCCTAGAACCTGGAACATGTCTCTATTAAATATTAAGTATGTAATTTAAAAAATAAAATTGGAAGTCAGAGTTTTAGCAGTTTTCATGTTTCTTTTTAAAATTTCATTGGTACCTCCAATCTCTGGAACCATACAATCACAAATAAATTTGTAATTACTGGCAATAAAATTTAAAAATATCTCTACCTCTAGCTATTTTATCATAAATTTGATTCTTTTTTAAAATAAATTTTATTTTATGCCATTACCCCCTCAGGCTCCCCCCCTCCCCTCCCTCCCCTCCATGTACAAAAGCTTTGTTTCCATTTTTTCATAACTTTGATTCTTATACACAAGTGGAATTATCATTATCATATCTAGAATTATCATTTCTGCATTAGAAATTGTCTAGTTTTCCTGATTCTCATCTAATTTTCATCTATTTCTTGACTATTTCTTGTGTACCCATTTATATCCATATTTCTCTTCTTTGTGAAACATAGCTGTTTTTATCTCGTTAGGCTGAAAAATATCTGTTATAATGTTCTAATAACTACTCGATTTGATGATTTTACACAAGGTAACATCCCCGGTTTTCAGAAGGTCTTTCCCTGGTTACATGGAGCAGCAGTGACATACAGTGGCTATCTAGATTATTTGCTGTACATATTACAGAACACATACTGTATCCATATTTTCTTTTTCTAATATAACAAATTGAGCTATACATTAATTTTTCATATTGCAGTATAGGACAGCATATAATTTTAATACTAAGTAAATCGATAGAAGAGCACATTAGGTACATTTCCACCCAAAATAGTATTATTTATTTATTTATTTATTTGTACATTTTAGGTATAAAATACATTTACATTTATGATTGGGTGTTTGTACCTGAGCATGATGTATCTTAGGTCTTATTTTTCACCCATTACCTGTGCACCCTTCATACACTCCACCCTTCCCTATTTACACAGACTTTGATTCCATTTTTTTTTCTTTCTCATTATTTTTCCTTTCCCTTCTTCCCTTTCCCCTTCCCC